AACCAACAATTTGTTGCACTCATTGAGAATATAGCCCAAATAGGGAAGGACCTCTTATTAAATAAAAAAATAGATTTTAGTTGGTTAACAAGAGAAATTTATTTGGTGTTATTCTATTTATCGGTTTTGTTATGAAGCCAACTGTTGGCTCCATAGTGGCGTCAACCTTCTATATACAACAAGTAAATTTACCATATTCTCTGATTACTTAAATAATATTGATATAAGTTTATTAATTTGATAAGTTTATTTGTTATATATAGAAGGTTGGTTCCACTATTGAGCCAACTGTTGGTTTCATAGCAAAATCGTCTATTTATAAGTGTTCAACTGTTGGTTTCATAGCAAAATCGTCTATTTATAAGTGTTCAACGACTGTTTAAGATGACAAATATGTTCTCGGTAAGATACTCTTTAAGGAGTTTCTATATTTATTTTATTCTACTGAAATTTGAAAAGTCTTTTATAATTTGGTTTTCTGATCGTAAATATTATCACAAGATTTGACATTTTTGCTCTAAATCGTGAACATTATTATAAGATTTGACCTTTTTACTAAACGACATAAGATGTTTCTTTTTTACCAATTCAGTCGCTTTAAATTTTGCGTGCTTGACATTTGAAAACTATACATAGTTATTCACTCGATTTATTTTTACCCGCTGTTTAATCTTGTACATATGTCATCTTTTATTGGTTGATTTGGCTAAATATTAACATTATCATAATGTAAAAACAAAGCATGTTTGGATATGAAAATTTTTAGTTTTGTTGGCTCAAGTGGTAAGTAGATTGATGTTGCTTAAACAAGATCTCGGGTTCGAGTCCTTGTAAATGCAGAAAATCTTTGTTGGGAGACTCACCCACCATTGTCAGGTGTGCGACCCAGGTCGACCAACGGATTAGTCGGGACAACGCTCTGGATACCGTGGCTGGCTAAAAAAAAAAAGGCACTTGGTATAATTTATCGACCTGAAATTCTCAGGGGTTAAAAAGATAATATCTTATTATATGAGGGAGTCATTGATAAATATAATTCATCATCCCTGTACCTTCTAATTTGGCGAGTGCAAATTGCAGTACAGAGTGATTGAAATCGCTTGCGGACTTTCATCCAGCAAGCTCCCACCGCCGTTGAAGGCTGACAAAATCATCGTCCGCCGATATCTTTGTCGCAGGTTTGTTCTGATTTCCGTTCTTTTCATTTTTTCAAACACTTTCAGCTCACAATCACAGCTTAAAAAACCCCGCTATTTCAATGTATCGTCCTTGCGGTTGATTGTGATTTTGTCCCGAAAATCGGGAATCGATTTCATTTGTTTGCTGTTCTAACGCTGTTGTCTGGAATCGGGATTATTTTGATATCAGCTGTAATTTATTTATTTATTTATTTTGAGTGCATGCTTTTGATTTTGGGTTACCTAGATTGTCTATGGCGGATCACATTTTGATTTCTAGTGTCACCACAATTTGGGTTTCAGATGGATTCCAAAAGTTAAGAAAATTGGCCGAGTAGTAGAATGCATCATATTGGGGCTAAGAGGAAATGGATGACTGGTAATTCTAGCTCATGTTCGGCATTCGATAGAAGCACGTATATACGAACTATCGATGTGTGTATAATTTCATACATTGAAAGATGTCCTAGGTTTTCGATTGTTAGAAAAAGTAACTTTGATGTTCGCGGATAAATTTTTTGCACCCGCTTTCTACTTGAACCAGTTTGAGGCATGTATTGATTGAGTGGTTTTTGTTCTACATTTATGTTGAAGAGAGGTCTACTATGTCGGGAGTTGAAGTTGATAACTTTTTGGATCCCGAAGAAGATCCGGAAGAAGAACTAGAGGAAGATTCTGAAGAGGATCCTGAAAAGTATGAAAATGAGGGAATTGATGAACAAAAGCTCGAATTGAAAAATCCAATTGACGTGATTGACGAAAGTAGGAATGAGATTGGGGTAGTGAACAACGAGCGAGCATCCGAACAACACAAGCATAGGGAAACTTCTAGAAAGCGCAGGAAGAGCCGTTGGGAAAATCCTCAATCGGATGATTCTAGCAAGAAAAGAAAAACGAGGTGGGATGAACAAGGTCCCCAAAATGGATTGCTTAACCCATTGGTTCTCTCGATCGACCCAAATACCATAGCCTTGAGAATGAAACTAATGGAGATCAACCAGAAGCTGCAGAGTTCTAAGTTTCATGACGAGAGACCTGCAGGAGAAAGATCCCCCTCTCCCCAGCCTGTTCACAACAGCCTCGGCATAAGGATAAACACGCGTGAGGCCAGGATGAAGATGAAGCTCATGGACGAGAGGAAAAACATTTTGTCTAAACTAGCGGAGATTCTGACCATTGGTTATGATCCCGATAAGAAGTTTGTCAAGAAACTCTTTATTCCACAGGAAGAGTACCCCGATTATAATTTCATGGGCCTAATTCTCGGACCTAAAGGAACCACCCTGAAGAAAATGGAGAAGGAAACCCGAGCAAGGATTTTCATAAGAGGTAGAGGCTCGGGTGACCCAAACTCAGAGGACGAAAAGCTGCATGTCCTGGTCGAGGCTTCTGAGAAGAAGAGGCTCGATTCTGCTGTTTCCATGATCGAAAAACTGCTTATCCCCATGGAAGACGAGGAAAATCACCACAAACAAGCTCAGCTGTCTTTACTCGCGAAAATGAGAGGGAACTATAAAGATAATAATAACACATGCGAACTTTGCAAAGAACCGGGGCATAAAAAATACGCGTGCCCGCTTCAAGACTCGACCTTTAAGGCCACGTGTTGCGACTTGTGCGGGAGTTTTGCTCACACGACTTCAAATTGTGATGCCCCCGGATTGCCCCAGTTCTGCAGGGACAAATCGAACAAAGACGTGGACCTCACGAATTTGTACGTCTCGTTTTTACCGGCTTTGGTGGACGATAAACGGCTGAGGGAGATTTTTTTGCCTTTTGGGAGTATTGTGAGAGCGAGGGTCATTAAACATGAGGCCAATGGTTTGAGCAAAGGATTCGGTTTTGTCAAATTCGAGGACGCCTCGGATGCTGCTGATGCCATTAAATACATGAACGGGCACAAAATGGACGGCCGGATTCTGGCCGTGAGAGTGGCCGGGCTGAGAGCGGGCCCGCATCCCGCAATTCAGACATCTTGCAATTATAATAGTCCTGTGGAATCTTATATGCTTCCTCAAGCTCCATTATGTGCTGCTCCTTTTCCGGGCTACTCTACTGATGTGGCTAAAACCGAGGTTTTAAATGTTCCTTCGTATTTTGTGTCCTCAAGCACGACTGAGCCGAAGGGGACAGGCAATGACTCGTCGGATTATGATTTTTGCGACAGAATTCCTAGTTTGGTTCCTAATACGGTGACTCAATTTCCGGGCGATCCGGACTACTGCACTGGTTCGGAGTTTGGGCAGTACTTCTCGAGTCCAGTATCAAACGAGGCTCAGTATCAGACAGGTACTCAGAGGAAATCTAACTTTTGGGGAGGTTCTGATTTTTTTCTTTGACAAATCAGTGGAATTTGCTCTCGAATGTTAAATTGACAAACTCTTTTGATTGTTAATCGAGGAAGTTTTCTTCATCAAGTGCTTGGAAAGATGGGTTAAGGTTTCTTGTTCTTTTGTCTCTCAGCTTTCTTTATGTTCCCTCTTATTCTGTATCTTAATTCTTATGTTCATTGAAAATTTAAGCCGTGCTTGTTTATGAAAAAACTGGAAAAAAAAAAACTGATTTTTTTTTTTTTTTGAGTTAACTAGAGTTTATTTGAAAAGAGTTAATATGATTAGTTGTTAGTGGAATTTAAAGAATTTATTAGGATAATATTTAAAATAAAATGATTAAAATTAAGTTGATGTAAAATTATGATATAAATGGTTGAAAATGTAGTTAAAATTATATAAGTGCATGAATAGTGAATTAAAGTTGATGTGATGTGTATAAATGATAATACTGGTGATACCCAATTTGATCGCGACTAATAGAAGAGTGACACGTGGCAATGCAACAAGGGCTAAAAGGGGTTTAAAATGCTCAAAAAAATAGATTTCTAGATTGCAGATTTATCTAAGTCTTGACAAGTTACGAACAGAAAATATTCGGACCGAACAGTCCTTACGAACAGGTCTTCAAGGTTCGGACCGAACAAGTCTTCGAAGGTCTTCAAGGTACGAACAAAAAATATTTCGGACCGAACAAGTCTTCAAAGGTCTTCAAGGTACGAACAGAAAATATTTCGGACCGAACAGGTCAAAGTATGTATGAACAGAAAATATCCCAAATCGTACTTCCTTTTCTGTTCGGACCGAACAATCCTTATGAACAGGTCTTCAAGGTTCGGACCGAACAAGTCTTCAAAGGTCTTCAAGGTACGAACAAAAAATATTTCGGACCGAACAGGTCAAAGGACGAACAGAAAATATCCCCAATCGTACAGAACTCAAATGACGGACATGTCCTCAAATGATGAACATACTCATAAATAGTAACTTGTACTATACATGATGAATAGTACTAAAAGTACAAAATGTACTATGTTATAAATAAAACCTCAATGATGGAGAAAAGAGAAAACAACATCCATTCTCCAAATAGAGAACATTTTAATTCCCTAAGACTGCATTAGTTTATGATTTATTCTAGCTTTTGTATTTTAAATCATATATTTATTCTTGTGAACTAAGTACCAAGAGCAGTGTACAATTCATTTTTTATTGTTAACATTTTTGAACATCAACAAAAATTTTATTTAATTATATTGAATAATGTCGATGGCAGTAAGGTTGAGTTAAAGTTGAAATAGATTTTTTTTTTTTTTTTTAACAAGGCCTTTATCAGATTGCATTCTATTTCTTTTCCTTGCATAAATACATTTTAAATCTACCATATGAAATCCAGTAATTCATCAATTTGCAGCTGAGATACCTGCATCTACATATTTCTCTGCATAACACAATACAAAACATGAATCACAATTTACTCAACTCAATTTCACCATCCTACAAATATACGATAAAATCAAACAGACTTGCACACACTACATAATCAAATTCATCATCATCAATCAAGAGATCTCATCTCTGATCTTCGCTATGAACATCCTCAGCTCCTTTGCCTTCCTCATGTGCTCAGGCGACACGTCATTATCCGTATCACTCAACTCAATCACGTCCGAAAATTCCTTCTCTCGGAAACTAGAAACCCCACGTGCAATAATTTGTTTTGGCGGTGGACTAATGAGATCGATAATATCCTTCCCTATGGATCTTGAACGACTAGAAGAAGATGAACTAAGAGGGCATTTACCTCTTGACTCAGAATAATTAAGGCTCATAATCGCGCTTTGCTGATAATCCAAGCCAACGAGACAAGAGGCGCCGTTATTCATGGTACATCTGTCTCGTTCAATGTCGAGCAATAGTTCCTGGAGTTTTCTATGGACATCGACCGTGTCGGATTTCATGTCTACTTTAACTGCTCTCGATTTTTTTTTAGTGGGTTTTTGTTTGTGAGCTTTTCTTTCATGGAATTCCATAATCTTTTCAGGGCAAGCGCTGAGAAAAAACAGAGCAGAAAGTGAACAATAATGTCACACACATGCATGGAATTTTGAAGATAACACCAAGTTCTAGTCTTGAATCTTTATAAACTTATTCGAAATATTACAAATACCCGAATAATAATCTGTGGCCATTTTGGAATTAATCTTTGAAAGTCGAGAGTTGTAATTTTAAGAGATTGTTTACATCAACAAATTTGATCGACCCGACTTAGAGAGATGAAATCAAACGAAAATGGCTCCAAAAAACCGAGGGGAAAAAAAGGTCACATGTAAAAGGTTGTGTTTGGTAAGTATATAAGCTAGCTTCTAACTTATTTAATTAGCTTATAAACTTCATGTATTCAAATAAGCTTGGTTCGATAGGATCAACTTTTTTAAAAGTTCGAACTTATCTCATTAAGCTTCCTTTGGTAGCTTTTCAAATAGTTCTATTGAAATTTTCGTTTTGATAAACTAATTTTATTATAAAAGTGTTTTGATAAACACTTTTATAATTAAGCTAGTTTTTCAGCCATAAGTCATAAGCTATCAGCTATATAAGCTCGAAATTTCACTTAAAAGCTATAAACTAGGTTATTAGCTAGATTTATCAATCTCGAAGTAAAATGATACCTCTCAACAAGATCAGCTGGTACAATGGATGAATCTAGTCCGTCCATCTTTTCCCATGAAACCTCAAAATAGTCTCTTCCTTGGACTTTCCTTTGCTTGACAATGCTTGATACAGGACACTTCACAGGCATCTGAATTTCCACAAGCACATCATTTCGTTAAAAAAAGGGGTATGCAAAGTTACTCCTAAAATATGTGAAGGATATAATTGGTTTTGACTGCAAAAAAAAAAAAAAAAAAAGAAAAAAAAAAGAAAGAAAACCTCATTTACAGGCAGATGGAGTCCTAATCTCGATGAACTCGAACGAAGATTAGCAAATCTCCTCAAGTTTCTTTCGGCAATCTTCGGCATAATGTACTCGTCTAGAACCAACAAAAATATACCATAATTTTAGAAACAGAGACCCACTAGGTTTCCATTTCGCTAAAGATTGTTATGATTTGGGAATAGAATGAAGGATCATAATAAGCAACATCATTTTTTTTTTTTAACAACTTATTTGATTCTTTCGGCAACCTGTCTTTTCCGGAGGCCAGTCGAAATATTGAGTACATAACTGATGCAATTGGCTCCGATTGAAAGGGTATAGAGCAAGAACCCTGTATAAATAGATAACATAAAGTTCTAATATTTAGTTTAAGAAAAAACCATAAAATAATGATATATACACATTAAGAAAATGAATTTATAAATATTCCCCTGTGAAAATATTTCGACAAAACTTGAACCTGTGCACGATGTCTGAGTCTGCCGAATGGCATCTTGGCTTCAAATAAGCATTGATCACTTGCAAGAACTGATTTTCTAGAGGTAAACCACATTTATTTCCTATAAAGAAATAACATTAAATAGTGTTATACTTGCAGCTATACAAAATTATCATGAATGCCCGGAAATAGAAACGAGTGGAGTGTTTTACCAAGGAAATGTAGTAGTAAATTTAGCAAACCTCAGTCAATTTCAATAATTACAGACCGTAAAATTCCAGAATCAAGATAGGAAGTAGAGACTGAAAACTCAAAACATTTTTTTTCTTAAATCAAGATATGAATCAGTTTTCGGTACTTCAGTAATAATAAGGAATCGAATCTCACATAAAAGCCTGTAATGGTATTAGAAGGCGAATGACAAAAGACTGTCCTCAGACAAACTCACCATTATCGTTCTCTTTTTGTTCATTCGTTAAATTGTGGCCCTTCTTCTTTGAGCGTTTTGGTTTTTTAGTAATTGACAAGCCCTCCGCTGCAAACCGCTGAAGAACAGTTGAGTCACCAATCGATTTCACAATCTGACAAGCTGACTCCTACATCCAAAACCGAATGAAAGTTAAAACTTTACACAAAGAGCGGAAACCAAAAAAAAAAA